CACAGACAACCCCTCGTCAATATGCGTTTTTTGCATTGCATTACTGCAAAAAACGCATAAAAAGGATCCGACAGAAGGACGAAGCTGCGAGAGACGAACAAACGCATGGATAATGTGAACATGCCAAATGTACACATGCGGCAGAACATTAGCCTTAACTGTGCATGGATCAAGAAAGACTCACCAGAAAGCCTTTTCTATCGTTTTCAGCCACAGTTTTCAGTTTTTCTCGGAAAGATTTTATTTGTGGACTCTTCATTCGACCGCCCTACAAAACATTCCAAGTGAATCGAATTTTGGAATGAAAACCAGAGCCAGTCAATTCGCACATAAAAGTGCAAGCTCTAAGAACAAAAAATAACCTCAAATGTGTTGAAGCCCAGAAATGCTAAAAATCCTTTTTTCGGCTTTTCAGTTTTCTCCGAGCGCAGTGTACGAAAACCTCGTCTCTGGATGTCTGCAATATATCAGCAGATACAATGAAAGCAATGCTTTATACAAAAAGTTACTTGAACATTTTACACGTTAGCTGAGCGCCCTTCACGCAAAAAAAAATTAATTAAAAAAACAAAGGCTCTTTTTCTACGATCTAGTGAACAAGTTTCAGCTTGTTTTAAGCATCTCTCTGGTAAAAAGCCACTGGTGGCCTTGGCAGCGGACTCCACCTCTCATTGAAAGGAAATTTTGATTGAGGTTTGTCCTTTGATGGATAAATTTTGTTATGCTACAGCACTTAGGGTCCCAGTGGCCTGACAGGTACCTCGGCTAAGATTTGTTGCACACCAGCTTGCTAGATGTATGTTGCGAACGTGTCGCAACACTGAGACCATCACATCGTCTATTTTAATCAGCGCCAATTAAAATAAGAATTTGAAAACAAAAAACAGGAAACTGTGGATAGCGCGGGGAGCCTGTAATGCGATGTTCCCTAGAACATGGCTGAATGGCACGCCTGGGACCAGCGACGCGATGACTACGAAAAGACTGCTTGCAATAAGCTGCAGGGCAAGAATTTTAGAAAATAATGAATGGGACGCCACGAATATTCAGGAGGGAATTACAGGAATTCTGATGTTAGCTGTAGATGTTAATCCTGCTGACAATTCTAAATCTGCAACTCTTTGAAGCGACCAAGCAAAGGAAGGAAATACTAACAAAACCGCGAAGAAGGTGGATGATAAACGAGGCTTAGTGAATTCTCCAGTTTCCACGTAACCAGTGAATTCTTCGGTTTACGTCCAACTGCACATATTTGATTCTCTAAAAAAAAAATGTTAGTTGGTACCATGTTAATATCCCATTTATGTTAGTAGTTCACTATTAATACAAATTGACAGTTGCAAAAGAGAGAGAGAAAAGAGAGGGAAGGGAATGAGGGGTGTGAGGGAGAGGGGGAGGCAAGGGAAGAGAATGATATACCATGAATGATGGTTTCCAGTAACTGTGAATTCACAGAACCAAAACATCGAGTATAAGCAAGTCGCGTGAATTGTGAGTAAGTTGCTGCATTCAGTTCATTTTTTGCCTTGGTGAGTGATGGGAATCGCACGCTGGGCAATTCCGCCAAAGGGATCATCCAATATGTAGCCATATCAGTAGTATCGCGCCTCGCACCTGCAAAAATAAAAAAATCGCCTGAATGGATAGCAAAAACTATTAAAACACAAGTTAAGACAACGGCAAATGAGAAGTTCTGATCAAAGTAACTATGAAAAGGTTGCCAGCTGTGTTTGTGACAGGAAGCGCGCAATGACGAAATGGTAGCAAATCAAAGCAATACTTAAATAATGTGAAAGGACACTGCAAGACCACCAAAGCGGTGTATGGATCGGCTTGAACGACTAAACGGAATTAAGTGTATGAGAAAGGCTCAAAGTTGAGAAGAATGGAGAAGTTGCCTGTTGCGTCGAGAAGAAAACTGACGGTGAAATCGTGGCTGTTTTGAAGTAACTGGTATTTGGACGCAAAACGGGTGCATGGGGATTGGGAGTGCGAGAAAACACTACTGATTTTTGAAAACAGTACAGTGAAAACAGTGTTTAAAAGGCTGAAAAAAGTAGGTGGGAAGAAGGAGTGGTCATCTGACTGGATGATGTCCACACTCGAAACCAGCAGCAGTGCCCACTTCGTGCTTGCATGACGAACTCGTCATGGACCAGAAAACGCCTGGACGCATACAGCACAACAGCCGAGGCGCTGCACTCCGAATTTACAAGTTCATCGAGTTACAGCGCTTATCGGCAGAACCAGAAGTGCGCAATACTCGAAATTCAAATGTTACTGCAGATCGCTGTGCGCAACGTCAAACTATCACAATCGAAGATAACCGGTGGAAGCAGTTTCTAGTACTGAAGTAAAGTACGGTTGGACTGCACAGCGTACAACTATAAAATAAACCATGCATTAATGGATAATGGAAGATCGCGACATGGGTGATCAGGTCCGAACGCGCTTTTCCGGAACTTTCAGGATAATGCCCCACTACATTTAGGAAGGTAAGAAAACAAATGGCCCCGATCAGTGATATACAAAAAGAGATCTACAATGAAGCTACATATTTTTGCTGTGATTAAATGGTAAAATGAGTTAACAGAGGAAATGAACTTTCTTTCGACTGATCCTGAGTAGCTAGGGTGCCAAGATCTCAGATCTATGGACCGTTTTTGGGAGTTTTGATGCCACCTCAAACTTACGTATGCAGTCGTAGGTCAAGAAATATTACGGTTCAAAAATCAGAATAATCCAACTTTTGAGATTTCATTCACTGCACCGAGATTTCACAAAATTAATTTGAGCCAGGATATCGTGTGAAGTGAGATCTAGTTTCGATTTTTGCTTCAAATTATTTGTAAAATTAATTCACCAAAATTTCTAGTTTCTTTCTCAGACGGTTTTCGAGTTATAAAACTCGTACATACTGAAGAAATCACAGTTTAAGGTGCACAGACATTTCGAGAAATCCTGCTGTAACGATGATCAAGCATTTATATACTTGCAGGCAACATCACATAATACCCACAAGTGCTACAGAATCTGTTACGTAAGTTTTTGAGTAATATGAAGAAAATTGGAGTGCAAATCCAGGAAGGCAGGAGGAATTTGAATGGAAATTTGGGCTGTTACAATTGTCAAGTTTGTGAC